AAGACATAAAATATTGATAATAATGGTATTAATAAACGTATGAAATGAAAAGCTTATCAGGATTATATGACGAAGTGCCTATAGAATAATTAATTATTTAAAGTTATAGGTATGTTTTTTTCACTTTTCATTATATAAAATTGTTTAAGTTAAACTGACGACTAAGTGGACAATTTTCTTTAAAATTAAAATTTACTATCATATAATTTACATATCATTTCTTTAAGAGGTTTTTATATAATTAAATCAAGAATTAACTAAAATGAAGTTGAAAAGTAGTAAAGTAAACATACTACATATGTATATACAAATGTAATATTTTGTTTATTTTTATTTTGTAACAATCGTTATGGCCAGACTATGTATTTGCATATATATGTACATATGTTTAAGTAGTTGGACGTTATTAATTGTAGACACTCAGGTGTTAATTTATGCAGATAAAGAAAATGTCCGTTTTTATAAAGCACACATAAATATTGTAAAATTTAGTATGCTCGTTGATAAGATCTACGAAGCTTTGATGCATATATGTACATTAACTTTGATGAAATAAAAGGCTTGAGAATTATTTTAGGTAATGTTAGCTACGAGTCTAACTCGCTAAGCCTGCCTGTATATACTCCGGGTTAAATAGAGTGCATAGCATGCATAAAATATTATACTAACATTTTCTGCATTGTTTTTGTGTTTTTCTTATGATACATTTCATAAAAGTCATAGATGTATATGTTATAGATCTATGACTTTTAAATTATTTAAATCTAGATTTTCCAAAACGAATTCTGCTGATGCTTTCTATAAGCATAATAAGGATTTTTGTTGAAAAAAATATATTATAAAATGCTTGTCGATGAAATCGTATGAAAAAAGCTAGAAACGTCAAAACAATTAGACATTAGTCAGATTTGAAGACGTTAAAGTAAGCAGTGAAAGTATTTTATATTTCCTGAGTATCATTATATATCCTGATTCGTTGTAGAATTGTAAGTAATTAAAAAAAAGTTAAACAATTGCAAAAATTTCAAAGAAAATAAGATTATTTTATGAAACATTATACTTAACAGTTCAAGTCTGTCAGACGATATTCGTGTAGATAATCTTATAACCCAGTGCTTATGAGGATTCCGGCTGGTGCAGATCCTCTCGGGGCACGGTTGCTTCGGGAGGTATTTGTGCCACATAGTCGGGAGAGAGCCGACAGCGACGTGTCACCACTGCAGTCGCGTGGAAGACACCGCTGACCACACCTTGATGGAATGTCCAGCGTGGATATCCGAGCGGAGCCAACTCATCCGCGTGGTTGGCGCAGACCTTTCGCTGCCGGCAGTGGTCCAGGCCATGGTCGGCAGCGAGAGGGCATGGCAGGCGGTGGCCGACTTCAGCGAGAGAGTCATCTTGCAGAAGGAGGCTGCTGAACGAGTGAGGGAAGACGACCCCTCCTCGGCGCCGCTGCGCCGACGAAGGCTGGGTCGAAGGCAGCGGGCTTATGCTCGCGACCTGCCTCCCCAGTGAGGAAGCCTCCGGGCGTCGGTGGGGAACCGGCGTCCGGGTAACATAGGCTAGAGGAAGAGCGGCGTGTTTGGCGTTCCCGGCACGCTGCTCTTGAGTCGGAGGGGTGGTGTGGTCAGCCACTGATACCCCTGCCGATGGCGGAGTCCCTTTCGGGACTCGTGCGTAGTGAGCGGAAGTATGGCTTGCCGTTCCCGCTCACTAGTCTACGCACAGCGCAGAGAACGTCGAGGTGGTTTAGTGGGTGGAAATCTCACATGCCCCTGTCGCGTTTCCCCCGCGGCAGGAAGTCTTTAAAAGATTCCCCTCGTAGAAGAAAAAAAAAAAAAAGTGCTTATGAGGATAGTGAGACCGTGGTTGGTTTAATTTTCTTAAGTGTTTTTGTAGAAGTTATAGCCATTGAGAGGATTGACGAAACCTTGATTTATATAACTAAATTTAAAATCATGTCACAAGCCCCCCAAAGCCTCAAAAGTTACGATAGCAACGTCATTATAGTGTCTTTATGCAATTTGAATTTTTTGTTAAATTAAAACTACCATTTTCAATTTATAATACTTTTCTACATTATTATAAATTGTTAATTTTTGTCTCTGTAAAAAAACTTTTCCTACGAGAAATTTTGGCTAAATAATACAATTTATAATTTTTAACATGGAAATGTAACCGGTGTATATAACATATACTTATGTATATGTTTAAAAAGTAGGTATATAAGCAATTAAAAGGATCAAGAAATTAATGTATAAATATTTACATATCATGAAGTATGGATAGGAATGAAGTAACATGGCAAAAAAAAGATTAACAATAGACAAGAAAAACCGAAGAATAGAAAAATCTAATACCAAATATAACAAAGAGAAAGAAAAATCAGCAAAGAGAAGCCACATTCTCATCCTCAGCACTCAACCCCACCGCGGTTGAATCTTTTAAATTGTAATTCTTTCAATATTGTCCGATGAATAAACCCGTATAAAATTTAAAGCACTTTTATGAACGACCAGTACTTTTAAACTACTTTACAAGAGTTAATCAAGTCTAGTCAGTTTATAATTTTTTTTTTCAATATATTATTAAATCCTTCAATCTAACATTCATGAAACCAACACAAAAAAAATATATAATTAACAAAAAATTAACAATTAGAAAACATAAAATTAACTTATATTCATCGAATCATTTCGTGGTGTATTTTCGATTTGCATATTAAATTTTAAATGTTTTTCTTCTTTTCTTAAACCAAATTTGAATTTAAAGAAAATGTTATAAATTACATATTTGACGACTTATACACGAATATAACTTGAAATAAGAGAAATAATGCTAACTAGTTTTTGCCCGCGACTTCGCCCGCGTTAATTTCGTCATTAGTAATATAGGTATAGCTGACCGGGCAAACTCTATTCCGTCTTCAATAACCCGGTATTGGTATTTATTAAATTTCTACTGTTTCAATCGAACAGAATGATTGACATATTAGTTAGTTGTCAAATCTAATGTTAAACAAGACGTTTGTATGGGAAATAGAAAAGGGCTGTTAATAGGGTTTTCCCGGCAATTATTCCAATTTTTCTCACCTTTTAAACATTTCCTGGACTTCCAGGAGTATTTCAAAACTAAAATTAGCCAAATCGGTTCAGCCGTTCTCGAGTTTTAGCGAGACTAAGGAACAGCAATCCATTTTTATACATATATATAGAAGATAGAAGATAATATGTTGGTGTCAGAAACGTTTGACTTCGTTACATTTACATTAATCTAAAAAATCCTTAAAACGAACTTAGCTTTCGTTATGTTGGTCGTACCCTGTTCGCTGTTTTTGTTTATTCTAATCAGAACATAATATTTTTATAGACAAGACCTATACCTTTATCACTTGATATTCTGATTACAATTTATGTAAATTTTAACTTTAGCTTGCTGAAGGAATATTTAAACAATCCTCTTAAATGTTACCCTACTTCATCAGAATGTTAAATATAACTCTGAATGTCAATCATGCTCAAAAAATAAATTTTAATCTAACCAGAATCTTAAGTTTCTTTAGTTTTAAGAACAAATAAAATTATTATCATTATATTAATAAGCATTCCTTCATTTATGTTTTAATATGTGAAATGTATTAATGATAAGTATTAAACATTTTCTCTAATCGCTAGGTACATATATTCTATTTATAAGTATATTATAACGACTTGATGGGTTATACGACTACATTAACAAACCAAGAAACAAACTCATTTTATTATAAATTACTCGTAAAGGTTGTTTAATTTTAATAATAATAATTTGTGTTATAAGACTCAATGCAATGCGTGTTACAGAAAGAAAACAAAGATAATAAAAAATATATTTAAAAAAGCTAAACAAACATTGAACCTATAATGAAATAACCTTGCTTTCTTTTAAACAGGATCTGGAGTGTAATATAGTAATTTCTGAAAACAAATATAAAGTATAAAAATCTTGAAAGAGTGATAAAACCGTTGATTTTATCTTTGTCTCAAAAAACTGAAGCTAATTAAAATGAGCTTTAATGCTGAAAGCTAGTTTTCTAATGTCACATAATTTTCTTGGAAAATATAGTCAACTAAACGTACAACATAACATACAACAATAAATAAATGATTGAAATACTAAAACATTACTTCAATTAATATGAAACAATGACATTAGTAATCTAATTTAAAGTAAAATTTACATTCCTCGTAATCGAAATATCAGATTTTCACGCATTCGTCGGTTTGTTATATTGGAAATTGGTTATTGGATACCCTTCACAAATGGTTAATTTTAAATAAAATATTTGAATTAATTACGAGTTGAATTACTTTAATGTTTTTATTTAAATATTATCAAACCAAAGAAAGGGATAATAAAAAATAGGCTGTTTTTTCTCAATATTATTCTTCTATTTTAAAACATAGTTGAAAATGAAAAGTTAACATAGTTGGGCATTAAATATTGAGATAAAAAACTGTGGGTACATATAAATATTTGGTTCTTGAGCAGATGCTAAAGGCATGACATCCAAAAATTATGAAATAACTAGCTGGTCCTTACATTGTCCCGTATTAATATAGAGAATTTTTAGGTTATATATTTTTTCATGGAATAAAAGATGGTAAATATTTTTTTTAAGTTATGTAAGACACTACCAATTTTATGTGGTTTTGATTGGACTCCACTGTTTGTGTTAAAGCAAACCATATATCACATAACACTGGAGAAATTTTTTGATTGAATAGCTACTTCGGCATTCGAATAGTGCAGACGTGTTACTGACTAATAGTTAAAACTTTAACCTTTCTTTAAGCAAAAATAAGCCATAAATCCTAAGCGCGCTATTACTAATATCGAGTGAACAGTTTAATCAACCGGCCTCATTACAAGCGCCCCGCTTCACCTCGGGTAAAAGAAATAGCTGCATTTTTCATACTCTTCACACCTCCGTGCCTGTGCGAACCACATCTAAACAATACACCATGGATACGCAACGGTCGCCACAGAGTACAAAAAAGGTAAATCGACCAGTAGGTCAAAAACAATGCTCAAAATGCAAATGCAAGGCTCAACTGGACTCATCTCGGGATAGTGACGATGATTCGGGAAGTAAAATTACTTATCGTAAAAGAAATCAAAGAGAATTTTGTGACATCGTAACCGAAATCAACAACTTCCGTGGGGAATTAATCTCAATACTCGAGAGCAACTTGTCAACGATGCGCGATGATATATCTGCAATGAAAAATCAAATTAATGAAATCAAAACATCAACTAAAAAAATGCTAGCAGAACAAAAAAGTGTAAAATCTGAAATCATAGAACTAAAGAAGAATAACTCCATTGCAGAATCCAAAATATCTGAGCTTGAGGCAAAATTGAGCAAGCTTGAGTGTATTTCGACCAAACCCCGTATCCCAGACGTTCTTGATAACAAGGAAATCATCAATGAACTGCAGGAAAGGGCCAATAGAAGTGTGAATATTATAGTCTTTGGTATAAATGAACAAACTAATGCTGATAGTTCTGCACGCCAAGCCATGGATCTGAGTCTTGCTCAAAAAATTTTTCAGAATGTGACAGCTGAAAATCCTAAGATATATAAAACTATGCGACTGGGCAAATACTCTAAAGGAAAAAACCGACCGCTTAAGGTGTGTTTGAAAATCAACATGATGTTAAATATATATTACGAAACAAGAATAAATTACCTGATAACATAAAAATATATTCAGATCAGACTCCTACCCAAAGATCTATAATCAAGGAACTTAGTGAAGAACTCAATCGCCGAAAAGCAAACGGAGAAGAGAATTTAACTATAAAATACATTAAAGGGACACCAAGAATTATACAAAACGTATCAAAAAACTCGAAACATTAAGTTTACAGGGCAAAGAAACTATTACACACGAAAATATTTCATACCAGTATTGTCACACATATCAGGATCTTATTGTATCGCAGTCCCAATTAAATTTCTTCTATGCTAATGTACGAAGTATCCGTAAAGATGGTAAATTTGATGAAATAAAATGTATAAGTCAATCGATTCAATGTCAAATTCACATAATTCTCTTGACCGAAACATGGTTAAGATCCATAGATGACGTTAAGTTGTACCAATTACCGAATTACACTCATTATTACAACCTCAGAACAGATTCAAGAGGTGGCGGCGTATCTATATTTGTACACGATAATTTAAAACACAGTTTATTTGAAGAAGTATACGCTGGAGGGGCTAATTACCTCTGGATATATCTTGAGAAATTCGCACTGGACATAGGACTTGTTTAAATTCCCGGAACAACAAATATATCTGACTTTTTTGAGCTGTACTCGACACAATTGGTTCAAAAGAAACGAGCAGTTGTATTCGGTGACTTTAATATAGACTTATTATCACAAAGTCGTAATATCAAACGCTACAAAAGTATTATAAAAGAATCTGGATACATTCTCATCAACAACACTCATCAAGATTATTGTACACGGGAAACGACACTGTCTAAGACTATTCTTGACCGTATATGCTCAAATCTAAAAGACAAACGCTTTCATATGGCCATTATTGAAAGCCCCATGTCCGACCACAAGCATATTTACTTATCTATAAAAAAATATAAACCACCGGCAAAAAAGAGAATAAATTACGAAGCAATTAATTATGAAACACTTAATAGCTATATTAGCAATACGAAATTTTGTTCTACAAATTATAGATATGAAAATTTAGAAAAGATAATATGTACAAGCTGGAATTAACAACAGCAAAGTAACCACGACTAAAATTTTAAATCCTCCTCGACAAGACTGGATATGCAAAGATATTATAACTAGTATTCAAGAAAGAAATGTATTTTGGTTTGCGCACCGTGATCTTTGCTGGAGTACAAATCTATAATAAATTACCTAAAGAGATAAAAAATGCAAATTCATTCAACATTTTTAAAATTAAACTGAAAAAACATATACTAAATAACAATACATTATTAAAATAAAATAACTAATATAAGCTAATGCACAAATAAAAAATTATTAAGTAAGTTAAATATAATAAGAATAAAGTATGAAATAAATAACTAATGATCTAACAGTTTTTGTTACTCTGTGTCTATGAGTTTGCATTTCTTATCGCTGTTTTGTACACAATTATTGTTGCTTTGAGGATATGTTTTAAATTGTCGAAGTTTTAATTTCATATATGTTTATAGTCATAAGTTTCTCAAATAAGTGAAATGTAATTTCTTTTTGAGAAAATAAAGTATCTTTAACCACAGAAATATTAGAAATGAGGCGTTTCGAAGTGACATATAATGTTGATGTCGTTTTCAATTGAACGTATAAAATGAAGTTTATGTTTCAACAGAAAGACAAAAATACTGGAACTTTATAATGACTGATAACAATTTATGACACAGAAAAATAATATTAAAAAGCAAGTCTTTTTTTATTACTCGAAGCTCGGATTTTTAAATTAAAACCTTAGTGAGAATTTCTTTCAAGAATGAATATTTGTAGCACCATTAAATAGATAAAGTAAAAACTATCGTAAGACGACACTCTTTTCAATGTGTTAAAATGGCATAGAATGATTTAAGATGTTAGGTATATATATGTATAAAGCTGATATGTCACAGAGTAATTAGTTCTGTAATTTGCTGTGGCAATACGATAACAATGTGCTTTATTGACTGCTATAATTAATAATAGCAGTTTTTTTTATAAATCTTTATTTAGACTATTATTATATCAATGGAAAGAATATTCTACATTATACCTGCTTGTTATATTTTTTAATTACATGTTAAAACTGAACAATGGATAAAGTGATAACGCACGACAAAAGTGCAATACTGAAATTATGTATGTATATTAAAAAAATAATAATAAGGTTACATTTACCTTGTATATGTTACTTATTTGTTAGATTATGCACTTGATATTGTTTTTATATATTTAGTTAATTTTATTACTCTATTTTGTCATACCTGTATCATTATATTATAAGTTTGATGTCTTTTTTTGTTTATTGTTTAATACACTAAGTACAAAATATAAATGTACTAGCTTTCCGCCCGCAGCTTCGCCGCGTGGAGTTCGGTTATATCGCGTTTCCAAGAGAACCTTTCAAAAGTCTGGGATAAAAACTATCCTATGTTCTTTCTCAAGGTCAACTCTATCTCTGTACCGAATTTCATTAAAATCAGTTCAGTGGTTTAGGCGTGAAAGCGTAGCAGACAGACAGACAGACAGACAGACAGACAGACAGACAGACAGAGTTACTTTCGCATTTATAATATTAGTAGGGATTGAGATGTCAATGTAATTGTGTGTTAACGATGATGAATTCCAGTGAACAGAAAAACCAATACTGGTTTATGAGACACTGAAAACTTAGATATAAATGTAAAAATACCAACATAATTGTAATAAATAAAATAAAAATAAATTAAAAATGAAAAGAGTTATACATATAAGACATACATACATATGTATGTTTATTTATATATTACATAAAAGTCATACATATGTTTTTCTGTAGGATACCGTTACGTCGGCCGCTGCCATAGTTACTACCCGCTTGACAAAGTAATTCTCTGGGCAGTCTTGACGCAAACAAAGCTAGTGGCCTGGATTATATTCCACGCATAATGCTCATAAACAAAAACCCATAATGCTCATATGAGCTACCTCTTGATGAATATGATTGACCCGCCTTTGTTTAATGACTGGAATTGTGCCAAAACTTGCCAAATTAGTGATTGCATCGAAGAAGAGAGATATGCTAACTCTGCTAATTTCAATCATCAAACTTCACACTGCTATAACCTAGATAATTTCCGAGATTATTGAAGATCCATTGCACGGACGACTCATAACATCCGTACAAGGTCTTTAATGATCTTCTCGTAAACTCCACACATTTAGAGATAAAGATAAACAAAGATGAAATTGCGTTTCACTGGACGGCTCTTAAACTTTCGACAGGGTCTAAAATGATTTCTTTATAAGTAAGCTTCCTAGCTAAAGTATATTCCCTGGTCTGATAATAACTTAAAAAAATCAATAATCTCATAATATTAACTGAATTTGAGACTGGTATATATTAACAATGACAAAAAAGGTAAAAAATTTGTTAAGATTACTTAATTGATAACGGACTCTTGTAATAAGTAACCTGAGGCTCAGTTAATCATCGTTAATTGATTGATTCAACACTTGCTTTAAATATTCATTGTGTCACGTTTAATTACGTATCTGACTTCTTAATTTACTTTCATGTAAAGACATCTTTGGACTATAATTTCTTTTTAATTATGATGGTTTAATAAAATTCTACTGAACGTTTTATAAAGTTAACTTAATTTTAGTGAAAATGTGGTACAAACGTCTTTATAATTTATAATAATTTATTAAACTAGCAAGTGCGAACAGTAAGTGTATTTCACATTAATACCTAGTAATTGTTTCGTACGAGTCCTTTTCTTATTTTAATTTAAAAAAAATAACCTCAGGTATATATATTATATTTTAAATTGAAAATCTATCAAAATGTGAAAAAAAAAACCATGTACCTTCAATGAAGACGGAGGTTACGAATCCTTGCAGTGCGAATAGAAAGTATAAGTAATTATTCAAATTGACTACGGGAGTACGGGACGATCTGGAATAAAACTCTTTCACAAAGCACAAAAGCCTTCACTGAATTGTCATACCCTCGTTTCCATAGACAAAAATCAAAGTTATTGTCAACAATGAAAGATTTAAGTTTACGGAGGAATGCAATCTGATTTCGAACACTTTTATATCGAATTTAATATACTTAACTGCAGTCAATTCATAATCATAAGAATGCAAATGATAATTTTCTATCGCACAATTTATATTTCATTACGTTGCTTCTATAGCATATATGTAAATATTTATATTTACTATATAAAATTTGGTTCTTTAATATCAATTAATATTTCTTCAATAGGTGAAAACTAAAGCTTGTAAAACTTGTATTCCAGAAGTCAGTGTTTTGGAACATAAGACACAACATCTAGGTACTAGGTTCGGTGATTAACCTCAATTAGTTGAAAACACTTTTTTCCTCACTTTTCTACTATATACATAAAGTTCAAAGATTGTATCTCTTTATTTTATTGTATCTTTCTATGTATAAATGGAAAAAATTACCGTACAATTTTTAGGATTTAAATTTGCATAATAGTTCTAGTTCTTATAATTTTAGCAATTGTTAAAATAACGCAGTACAATAAATAACATATTGATTACGTTTAAATGTGTAACAGGCTCCAAGGGATATAAGGTTTAAATAAATATCTTAGAAACCAGCATAGTGTGAGGAAGGTAACCACATCTGCAATTCCCTACATCGAGGGTTGAGAACACTACACAAGACAATTAAATCTTGAATGCAAGTATGTAATGACATATGACAAGAGATATCATCAATTAAAAAGTGAGATACATTTGATTCTAATTAATTTCCCCAGAAAAAATAACTAGAAACTAAAATATAGGTATTAAAAAATATTAAAGGTTACTTTCGGAGTTTAATAACATCCAAAACTTTAGGGTGCCTAATATTTTGCTGGTAAACTAATACTAATAGAGATAATAAAAAGATTGATGAATATCAATCTTTTTACACTATGACTTACATAAAAAAATAAGTTTATGAATTCAATAACACTCTTAAGATATATATTTTTTTATTTCTTTTGTAACTTTAGATTGTGAAAATCATCAAACGTTATAGATTAATTATATTTTATTTTTACAACTTTTTCTACAGGATCTACCCTAAAAGGCATTCATAATTTTTCCCAACTACATTTCTAACGAATTTAAAGTTTATCTATATATATAAAGGATAGTCGTGTTAGTTACCCCACTTATAACTCAAGAACAACTGAACCGATTTAGCTGAAAATTGGCAGGGAGGTAGTTTAGAACCAGGAAATTGCGATAGGATACTTTTTATCCCGTTCGACAGCATTCCCGTGGGACTTGACATGAAACGTCAGTCACTATAAAACGTGGAATAACGAAACACAATTGACAGCTATGCGATTGACGTATAATGACAGATATGTAATTTAGTATTTGCGGGATAAATTTAGAAAATCATTGTTTTTCACATGAGCAGTTATAGTTTGTGTGTTCACGAGTTGGGAAACCATCCGCTTTATTTGTCTTAACGTTAGACCAAAAAACAAAAAATATGGTTTACAAAGGAGCACTTCAATGAAACGGATAATTTGCGGACTCGTATAACGCTTCGATTCGGTATCTACTTTGGATTCACTTTCATTTACTTAGAGAAGTTCAACTAAATAACACTTCATTTTTGTAATCGAAATGAATTCATTACTGTTGTGAAATGAAATAAATATTTTCCTTTTCAAATATAAAACAGAAATAAAATTCTTCATCTTTTAATCACCAAACGAAATGTTACATAAAACAAAGCCTTCTGGAGGCGAAACGGAGTTCGCCAGGTTTACTAGTAATTTATAAATTAAAAGTTAGGACATCGCACTTTGTTTCAACTATTTAAAAGACATTTCAAGTTATATTTGACAAATAAAATAGATAACAAATAAATAATATTGAAAGACTGTTAATAAAACATAAATATATCCTACTAATATTATAATTGCGAAAGTTTGTGAGTGTGTGTGTGTGTATGTTTGTTACTTCTTCACGCTCAAACGGTTGAACCGATTTTGATAAAGTTTTATACAGGAAGCTGACGTCCATGAATAACACCATAGGCTACTTTACATCCTGGAAATCCGCGGGTGACACCGAGGGGCGCAGCTAGTTATAAATAAAAATCAACCTCAATAATTTAAGTCATTGTTTTGTTATAATTTTTATATTATTGTAAATAAAAAGTTTCCAACTTACAAAGTTGAAGGTTGAGAAATATAAGACTTATATTTTAAATTTCACTTTCAGAAGAAGAGTTGCTGATTCTCATGATATGATGCTTTACATATATAAAAAATATTTATTATTTTTTATAAAGGTGTTCATCGATCTTGGCATTGCTTTCGTCACCATTCATCAAACTCCAAGTACCATGTCCTAATTTATCATTGTACATACAATATGATCCCCTTTTTCGGGAGACTTATAAAGAACTCTATTTCAACAGTCATTAGAACTAGAATTTCAATTTTATTTTAAAATTATTGTTGATAAAAAATATATTTAAATCATATAAAAAAGGTATATATAATACCAATCTTTATCTCTTTATATGTTTTAGGGAACTATAACTGGTACTTTGCCAAAAAAAACATAAGAATTTAGATAATATGATTTAAAACATATACCTACTTACGTTTTATTTTTATTTTTGCACACAAACTGAATTCTGAAAGTAAAATAGAGAAGCATTTTCATGCTTGTACTAAATATTAGATACATTGGCCATCAATCGGTGGAATAATTAAAACAGATGTTTGAAAACGTAAATAACAAAAACAAATTAAATCATCGTAATCACTTTACCGATACCTTAGTCAAATACAAAGTTGAATGTCTAAAAAGCTTTAAAGAGTATTTTGACGAAAGGTCGAGGTGTAAGGGAATATGGTATAAGACCATACAGAGTGAGCCTCCTCGTATTCCATGGTTTGACGACTCAGGATTAACTCGACAACAAATTGTTATGGCTCTAAGGCTGCGTTCCGGACACATTCCTACAAATAATTTTGGATTTCTTATGAAGAAATTAAACTCTCCGAATTGCGATATATGCGGGATTTAGGATGACATACATCATTTTCTTGTGGAATGTGTTCGAAATGCTGCCAAAAGAAGAGAATACATAGATTTAGCATTAATTTAAAGGATATAGGAATTTTTCAAAGTGTTGTTATCCATTCCAAAGTCAGAGATAGCCAAAACTATTTATCAGTTTAAGTTAAAATAAGACATAGTTTATAAGTTTTAGAATTATTTAAGATACTTTAAGGCTTATATTTATTGTTGGTGGTGGGATTTTTATTAAGGGAACGATGGGACTGACATTAAGCTTTGCTGCCAAAAAGTCCCAAAATAAAATCAGAAAAAAAAAAATCTAATCACTTTAATCATATTAAAGTGTATTTTTTTTGTTGATGTTTGAAATTTTTTAATTGCATATTATTGTTATTATCTTTAAAAGAGAAGTTTTCTTTTCGCACAATATTTCATATTTAAATATATTGTTGATTAAAAAGGCCATTAAAAGCCTTAAGTATATGTAAAAATATAAAAATTTCTTATAATAAATTTGTTTTGAAATTGAACCTATTTAATATTATACTTAAATTCAAATAAGAAATGAAAAGTTTACTTAAAACGAGGAAGATTCTAACATAGAGCCTCGCAATAAAAAGTTCCATCTGTTCCCAAATCAAGTAATCAAAAGCAGTTGCGGAAGTATGCTCGCGCGTTCCCGTGGCCCTACCAGTAGCGGAGAGAAGGAACACTGGTGGTTTTTAGTGGGTATCCGGATGCCCTTCAGGCGCCGGGAGCCCCACATACCACAGGGGGAAGCTTGTCTTCCCATCCCATGCCCCGTGTGCATGCAATCCAATGCATTCCCCATCAAAAAAAAGTAATCAAAAGCAGATTGTTAATATTGACTATTTTCTTTTCTTATTTGTAATAAAAAAAGCAGTGCGGTATTCTAAAGTTGTAGGGATTTACATATGTAAGTTTTAGCTACAATAAAAATATTATTTATGCTGAAAAACTGCGAAACAATTGACTCATAAGTTCAGAGGATTTTTTCCTTGGTTTATTTAATACATATACACATTAATTTAATTAAGCTCTCATCTTATTCCTCAGAAAACGAAGAAGCTAAGACACCTACATATTATTGGTCACATTTCTTCGTCAAAAAAGAACATAAGTCATATTTATAAGCATTTTAATATTAAGATAATAAGACCTCTAAGATTTTTTTAAAAGATAAAAGTACTTTTTGAATTAAAATAATTTTTATTTTTTTTAAAACAATCTCATTCTTTTTTACCATAAAAATATTCCAGAATAAATAAATTGGTATTAATTCCAACAATAAATATTCTTAATTATAACAACTTGCTATTGAAATTTAATGAAGTTAAACTTTTAATATAAAATTAATTACTACAGAAAAACTAAGATCCAATGAAACTGTTATAATGAATTTGTATTTTATAAACCCGAGGTAAAGCAAATCAAAATGAGTGATTAAAAATAATAAAAGAAATATTGATTGTTCAAAAATAAATTAATTATTCGTTAATTTGGTCACACGCTCTAAAAAACAAACAAGGAAAATTGTAATGATGCAATTTGTTTGTTTAACTACCTACTGTAATATGTCATTCAAAACTACCATGGCAAATACATTAAAAATGAAATACGATATGATTTAATGGACTCCACAAAAGAAAAAGGTTATCTATTCGTATGTTTTTTTATGCTTGTTACCCGTGTTATCGGTGGTATCAAAATACTCTTAGAACGTACATATAATTCGGAAAAATCACATTGGTACTTGCCAGGTTTCAATTCCGCACCGTCGTAGTGAGAGAGGCGGGCCTTTAACCTCTAGGCCACCATGACTTTATGGCTTTAATATAGTCATGTTATTTTATAAAGCACTGTAATTATTTGTTCCTTTAGATTTTTGTAATTGCTTATAATTTAAACACCGCAACGAATCTTTACGACTTGGCTTTTAGTTCAAATTCATTCTAATTAAGGGCGATAGAATTACCGATTTGCATTCTTTTACAATTTATTTATATTTTTTTAATTTAGTAAAGGGTTAAAAAAGGTTTTAAATTATTTAACATACCATGTTAATATGAAAGAATATTTTTAACAAATGCCCTTAAAAATTGTGAATACAATTTAAACCATTTGCATATGATCTCAGGGTTTTAAAATTTTTATGACATTTAAAAAGAGACTGACTCTCCACTAATATAACGACTTGGACAATTGTAATTATATAATTTATTTACTACGATATTCATCGCAATTATTATTACTACTAATAAGTTT